TTAAATATTACAGCTCTAATTTTTTTATGGAGTTAATGCAACATATACTACTATAGTGTGTTTTATTTTGGGTAATGTTTTCATATAACAGCTCTAGTCACTATAGGTGTTGGAAATATTCGCCACGGTTTTTGGCAGATACTGATTTCACAGGACTCATTAGTTAGCCTTTCCTGGATACTTGAGTGATGTTTCTTCAGAAACAGATGCTCTCTACCAGGTCGGCACACTTCATGAACACTACCAGTGCTGCAAAATTTGGTGATTAAGTTGCTCAATTAGGATGAGGCACATGAGAATCAAGGAAAGACATCATAAACTGTTGAAAAACCACATTCGACTGCTGCCACCATTAGGGAACACATGCACAACCAAAAATACTCTTTCTTCAATAGTTAACATCATTATAGCTAAGATCAATGATTAAAACATGGCCATATAGCAGTGATATTCTAAACTAATTGTTACATGGCACTTGAAACATTACATATTACCCATGTTTAGTTAGCGTGTGCAAATAACTTTTTCCAAAAGGTCTACAGTCATTAACTCTGAGTCCAAAGGAACGCATCATACGTTCATAGGTTACTACCTAGAAGCCCAATGAACGCATGATGCGCCGATTTTATTACTTTCTTTACTACCCCTGGGCCTGTGATGCTAAACCCTGGGACTCAAAGAGTTCAACATATACCCTGTTGCTCCTAATGCCCAATGTACACAAAATGTAAACAGGATCATTCAACTTTTTTTTATTTTAACTTCTTGTAATATTATCCTGTGTGCTGTCAGTGTACATGGAAAGGATTACACAGGAAAGAACAAAACGAAGGAATAGACTGTGAGCTCTATGTGACATATAATGGCACAACAAGACAATGATGACAATGATGATGTCAGTTTACACTGTACAACAGGATTGATAAGTATGACAAACATATGTACAATACCCACATATGTGTTTATTACAATCAATGCTACTACTGTATGTATCATTAAGAATAGTGAATAACATTTTCAGATGATAAAATATTAGTTGTTGTCACTCAGTGAATGAACACCATAAGAAATTATTACAATCAATGCTACTATTGTATGTCCCATTAAGAATAGTGAATAACATTTTCAGATGATAAAATATTAGTTTTTGTCACTCAATGAGTAAACACCGTAAGAAATTATGTAAATGGAATGTAATCAGTAGTTGATAATGTTAAATATTGAGGCCAGTAACTGGAATGTTTCTAAAAAGGTGCATAAATAAACATACTGATATTGTTTCCAACACATGTAAATACACATTTTAAATACAGTAAAAATAAACTCCTGTTGGTTAAACACTTTGATCACAAGTAAAGAATACATAAATAAAACAATGTAAAATATAAAATGTATATGTGTTATTTCACACTGCACTATGTCATTTTGTCAACTGACAACAGTGGGAATGTACTGAAATTGCATCATAAAATCTTGTACAAGTTACCTACTGCATATCAACTGTATGTATCACAGTTGCTCTGTTGCCACTTTCAATACCATATTGAAATAGAAATTGTACAGTCAGCACACATTTCTTATCTGATATAGAAATTGTACAGTCAGCACACATTTCTTATCTGATATAGAAATTGTACAGTCAGCACACATTTCTTATCTGATATAGAAATTGTACAGTCAGCACACATTTCTTATCTGATATAGAAATTGTACAGTCAGCACACATTTCTTATCTGATATAGAAATTGTACAGTCAGCACACATTTCTTATCTGATATAGAAATTGCCATGTTTAACATTATTATGCTTACCTTTATCACATGCAGACTGCATCGGCAAACCTCAACATTTATCAACAAAATTGCATTAAACAGGTAGAATATAAAAATCATGGGAAAATGAAGTCTGGCAATATTCACATTCAAAATGATACCCATATTCTTCATCTTTGTGTTTAAGGGTAGTAAACTCCGGCGGTGAGTTCTGGTTGTTCATCCACTTCTGGACTTTAGTCATGTTCAAGAGCCTGAGTTTTGCATGCACATCCATTTTACAGACCTGGCTTATCTGTAAACAAACTATTGGCTCCTCGCATCTCAGGCAGATGCACTCCGACTTCAAATGACACATCCCTAATTAGTCAACTTTTACTACATGCTTATGAGGAGGGATAGTGGGGCTATTCTTTTTCCCCCACAATAGGGCTCTAGAACCCACATGGAGTGAAACCCACACTTAGATTACAAATCAGTTTTTAATCATCTATGTCTCTTTCACTAATCCTTTTATTTATGGAGCTTTACTAGTCTAAGTAACATACCTCTCATTCTAGAATTAAAAAAGCATCCTAAAATGTTAAGCAGGATTTTGAAATTGGATAATTCATCACAGCTAAAATCATACAACAGAATAACTGTGCTGTTAGTTTTTTGTAACTATCTACTTTCATCTTCTTCTTTGCGTTCACCAGTTGTAAACTCCGGTGGAAAGTTCTGGTTGTTCGTCCACTTTTGGACTGCAGTCCTGTTCCAGAGCCTGAGTGTTGCATGTGCATCCGTTTTACAGAACTGACTTATTTGTATGCAGACTACAGGTTCCTTGCCTCTCAGGCAGATGCACTTAGACTTCAAAGGAAGCTCCCAATTAGTCGACTCTTATGACATGCTTCTGGGTAGGCAGTTGGTCTATTCTTGTTTTCCCTATAATAGGGTCCCAGAACCCACACAGGGAACTATCTACTTTCATTATTTAGCATCTTTCTTTTATCTGGCTGTTCACAAAACTTTGCTTTTATCAAGAAAATAATTTTAAGTGAAGAATGTGGAGGTGTTTTAGTTAATGAACACACATAAAAACACCGGAGTGTTTTTCCCCCCCATTCTAAGCAGTGGTAGGATGGGATTTTGCAACCAGTATGAAGCTGCCAGAGAAAGTAAATGTAGCCAGGCTTCTACCAACTATAACATTCCACATCTGACATTCACTCACCAACTATGAGGTCTAAAGACCACATTCCCAACAGGTCTCAGTGACAAGTTGATGAGGTTACATTATTTTTATATCATGTCATGTAGCAGGTCCTTTCCAAGACGTCGCTCTCATCAATTATATATTTACCATATATTTTTTTATGATTTACAAAAGTCATTTATAATATGTATTGCTGTATTAACATGTGTGTGTGTGTCTCTATTTGCAGTAGTTGCCAATGTTTAAAACATTTTCACTATCATGATTATTAATGTAACCAGTAGCTTGTAAATTTGATTAATAAACTTCATTTATAAAGGAGATAAGCTTTTCTTTTTTCTAGGTCTGTGTGAAATCTTGCTTTGAATTTAAAATTCTAAAGAGATAAGAGTTTTTTTGTTTTAAATTATACTTATTGAATATAGTTTTGAAACTTAGAACACAACAGAATAAAAAAAAAGTAAACGTTTTCAGCCATGATTAAAATCTCCAAGAAAACTTTAAAGTAATAGGTGCAAATATTTCATCCTTAAAGAGTTAAACATATAACATGACCCATTGCCATAATAAATGGATCTTATTTAAATTGTAAGTACTGACAGCCACTTTCTTTCTAAACTTCTGCAGCATTAAATAAGGTCAAAATAAATGTTCTTTCTCAAATACTGCAGCATTAAACATGGCCAATGTATTTCAGTTTCTAAGACAGATGCTAAGTATGAGTTGCTTACTTTTAAAGGCTTGTAAAAAAAGTCAATATTTTTCTTTAGCCTAAAAAAACAAATACACCAAAAAACAGCCATAGCTCAAGCTGAACTGGCTAATACTCAGAGGTTGTCTTTAACCCACTCTTGTTTTACCTCATTTAGGTCACATGGAAGGCTTAAACCTATTCTGTAGTGGTTGGCTCAGACAGTTCAAAAGTTGACTGAATTAAGAAAGTGGAAATACTTGTTTTTAGCATGGTAAATGGGGCCCTGGAATCCACACAGGGAAAGTGGGTTTTTGTAACTACATTATGGCAGTTGGCATACTGGGCGCTAGCTGTTTCAACAGCTGGTATCCAATAAGCAATGATTATAAGGACAACTACAATAATTGTGAATTAAGAAGCTATTAGTATTCATGTTTTTCTTTGTGACTGGAAAAAACCCAGTAAACCCTCATTAGTAAACATTTTAAAAGATAAAAAAATAAAGTTCATCTTAAAAAACACTTGTGCTAACTGGGGACTAATAATAATAATAATGCACCCCTACTGGGAACAAAACTGTATTCATGTTAAACATGTGTTCTTCTTAAGCAAGTTTTGTGTTAATGAGGTTTTACTGAATCAATCAACTGTGAGCATATATTTCTAAGCTATACTGCTACAGACAGTCAAATGCATATTAAACTTAAGTATCATCATACGCAGAGCCACAATAGTGTAGAAGCCAGGTGCTCGCCTGCTGGCCTGAAGGTCTTAGATTTAAATCCGCATCAAGTCACATTTTTTTTATAAAAGACCTTGACTCTCTGGTTGACCCCAGTCCAAAATGGGCACCAGGTAAAGTCCAGGGAAGTAAAGCTGACCAGCATGATGTTGAAGATATCCCCCCAGACATAGATAGATATGGTCTATCAACATATGAGTCTAGCATCATATTCCTGGTGTGTGACATTGCCAGGTTCGCTTTCACCTGCTGTGAGCCCATGTGGCAAGTCATGACTGTTATCTATTTCTAGACTTTGGCTTTGTTCAAGGACTTCAGTTTTGCAAGTGCACCTGCTTTACAGTACTGACCTAACTTTTTGCAGACTGTTTGTTCCTTGCCTCTCAGGCAAATGCATTCGAACCCAACCGTGAAGCTAATTAGGCGGGCTTGTTAGAGAGGGAGTTGGTCTATTCTTGTTCCCCCACCCCCTCCTACAATAGGACCCTGGAACCCACATGGGAACATCACAGGCATAAAAAGGGCCCTTTACTTTATCCTCATATACATGTTTAAGTAATGACAGATATTTTCAACTACACATACATTCTAGTTTCACACTTTGCTAATATTTCCACTCAGTGCGGTGATGGCTCGTAAAATAGCATTGTCATTTTTGTTTTTGCCTGGATATTTAATATTTATGTCAAGATCATCCAGTGAATCTTTACTGGAGGTAAGATCAATAGACTCTAGACTGATCTGCCTCTGTAGATCATCAGCAGCCAGTGAGCTTTCTCCAACAACATCGGGAAAGCTTGAGCTGATCATGCTATGTCGACTTTGGTCTGGAGACCTATCTGGTGACTGAGAAAGCTCATGTTGCTCTTGAAGCATCTGTCCTGCATGATGTTGAAAATTATCTTGATCACCCTCAGTATTATAGACAACACTTGTAGGCTGGCTGGTGCTGCTGAGCACTGAACCTGTTCGGGTATGCTGGTTTGTGTGTGATGTTGGTTGCTGATAATGTGGTGATGTGGCAATATTGCGAGGTGTAGATTCCATGGTGTCTCTTGATGGACTTGCATAAAGTACTGGTGAATAGACAATTTCTTGATCTCCATTATTATTCCCAAAGGACTGTAACTGTCTTGCATTTGTGGCAGTAGTAATCTTAGGGTATTCACTGGCTGTTGGTGGATTTCCATATATTACTGCAGCTGTTGGGTTGCTGTTTGAAAATGTCATTTGCTGTTCCTGATTCTTCAACACATTTTGTCTATGATGAGCAGCTGTACTGTAAGGCCCATATGATGGATTAACTGTAGAGCTGGAAAGGGAGTTCTGAGAATGAACAGATGACTGTTGCTGTAAAGGCAAACATCCCTGCTGGACTGAAGCCTCTTGCAGAGAAGAGCTAATATGGGGTGCTAGCTGGCCATTTGGTCCCTGCATGTAGTACACAATTCCTTCCACAGGATCAAATGCATTGTTTCCATTCACAGAGTTTGAAGTGACCAAATACACTTGTTCATTTGCAAGAGACTGTGAGTCTAAGCTCCTTTTCATACTTGCTGGATCATTCTGACTACCCATGGCAGACATAGATGGGTATATTACTCTGTTTTCCATGCCATGTATGTTTCTACTGGATGAACTTTGACCAATGGGACTTACAGGCAAAGGGCGGCTTGAATGGGGAGACATGAGCTGCCCAGATGAAACCAGTGATACAGGATTACTTCTTCGATTTTGAGGATCAGTTTGAACAGATGTTTTCCTATTTCCCATGGCTATAACCTGAGATACTGAATCACTATTATCATTTATAAAAGCTAGATTATTAACACCACCACTGACATTTGAAGTACTGTTGCCAAAATTACTGACTCCTACGCTGTTTATAATAGGATATGGATTCATAGCATTAGCAAACCTAATACCATGTGTATCTGTGTATGGCTGATACACGACTCTGTCCGGTTCATCATAAATTTCTTCTTTACAACTCTCCAGAGATTTCTTCAGATCTGCAAAAGTAACAAAATCAAATATGTAGTCATTTACCTCATAGTAATTCTGTTTAAGCAAAACAAAAAACAAGTAACTTATAAACTCCAAGTCTTCCAATCTATCTTCCCTTTCCTTCTTAAGCTCCAGCCCAGAACATAATACTGCCATGTTTTTTTTAAGTCAGTTTAAAATTAGTTTTCCTGAAAATACCAAGAAAGTATTAGATGTGAGTAAGCTATGGCTGCATTTTTGTAGTCCCAGTAAGTATACTGTAAGAGATCAGTGTATAAGAAACTTCTGGATGAATGCTAAAGAAACTACACAAGGTAACACAGTTAAAGGTTTTATTACAACCAAAATAAAGATTCTAATGCAACTGCAAAATTTCTGTTTCTTCAAAAATCAGTTTAAAAGTGGTGTCTAAAACAAAACAAAAGCAAAAGCTCTTACTGCATAAAAAAAAATAGGATGTTTCCACTGAGTTTTTGAAATGCTAAATTCATACTGCTATGTTAGACAGTTTCACAAAGAAATTACAAATAATGAAGGAAATTCAAAGGTGATCACAGCAGCAAATGAGCAGGAAAAAAATGAATATGTGGTTGAATGTTGATTGTTGAATTAAGAATCAACATCACAGCCCTCGGGACACCCCCATGAGCGCTCCATTCCCATCTTCAGCAGCAAAATGAACATACACACTTTGTCTCTTATGAAAGGAAGAAAGTAGATATTGTAGGACACCATGAACAACAGATAAAGAAGCGGTAAATACATTCTACTCTTCACATATGAGACACAAAAAGGTAGCCAACATCATTCCCCCCGAAAGATGGTGTCTTAAAAAAACCAATTAACCAAGAAACCATTAACTTAAGTGAAAAAATATATAAAATCCTAAAGAAATTAATAAACGATTTCCACAAAAACAAAAATTATTGTCATCTAGATAAACAACAAGTTAAACATTATAATTGTCCAAAGTTATGTGTATTCAACTCTACTGTATGTGAGCAACTAGAAAATTAAATTAAGTCTTTGGAAATGTGGATATACCAAAAAATAGGCTGTATTTATGGGGACGGTGGAGTGGGGGAAAAAAAGGGGGGGGGGGCTATCAAATGCAAATGTATTGAAGAGATAAGAGCAATAACAACAAAAAAAGAATTGCTGAAACAAATTTTTTTTTTATTAGTCAAACAAAATATTCTTTACATTAAAAGACATAGCAGTCTTATGGAACCATACTGGAGAAAAAAAATGTGAAGGTAAATGTGCAAGAGTTGGACAATGATGCAGACTGGAGGATAACATCAAGATGCAGATGAATAGAATGAAAAGAGACACAGAGTTCTGGAGATCTATTGCAGCCAATCTTCATTGTGGAGATGCTACTTGCTTGATTGATTGATTTGATTAACTGACCAAAATGTACCTAAACATTACCATTTAATTTTCTTGTAAAAATGTGTAGTTTCCATACACAAAATGACTGTTATAAACTACTAATAGCACAGCGCTTGTCATAAACTACTGCTATCATAGCACTTGCTGCAGAATTTTGACTATACGTGGAACACAGCCATTATAAATCCAACAAATTCAAACATCAATGAAGCATGTTTTTGAAAATGTATAATTGCTTCTCTTTAGCAATAGGGTTAAATGACAGACAGATGAAAGGGGGCCATCATGGTGTAGCAGCTAGATCAGCTGCTCCTACCCTGTGGGTTGGAACCCTTTTGTGCATCAAACGACCGTTTCACAGGGGTCGGCCAAAGACCATCGGAAAACACACATTGACTTATGTAGTAGCAACAAAAATAAGTGTATGGCTGGGGGTTGCCACAACATGGGAAACTGTATTACAGGGTCACTGCATTAGGAAGGTCAAGAGCCACTGGGCTAGATGCTTGCCTGCAGATCCGAAGGTCGTGGGTACCAGTAAAGGCGACTGGTGTGATGCTGATAACATCCCCCACCATCAGTCCATAAAATATATGTCCAGCCCTATATGCCCAATATGCCTGCAGGTGTGGAAAAGGGTCCTTTACTTTTACAGATAGATGAAATAAGCTCTCTAGTTTTATCAGCCTGCTTCTGAAATGTTCAAGTGAAACTCTGCACTTACTTCGGTATTTGGTGGTGAAGCAAATAATCACTGCACAAATGGCTACCAAAACAGCCAGGATCAGGACTATAATAAGAGAAATAATCAAAATGTCTGACTGTCTGTAATTAGACATTGATGATGAAGACTGTTCACTGGTTTCGTCAATGTTGGCTACCCTGGGTGCTGGACAGTGTTGACACAGGTCCTAGAATGTAAATACATATCTCATTGAAAACAGTTCAATACTGCTATACTTCAGTTGTTAGATTTTTGTTATGTATTAATATAAGCTTAACCATTTATTTAACCCTCTGGAGATGGAGCCTTTTTGGAGTTTCAGTGCCAAAAAGACAAAGCCTTCAGGAAAGGATTCTCATGGGTTATATCCAACAAATTATTAAAGAAATAAAGCATTTAATTAACATATAAAAAACTATGTATATTTGTTTAGGAAATTGAATGAGCTAACAGAATATTTATGAATCAAACTGAAATCTCAACATTTATTTAAATTAACTATTCTGATTTTCTGATTTAACCTGAACAATTTGGGTGAATTATTTTGTGGATGAAACTTGAATAAGTCCTAACACTTGTGTTTTGGGAAGTAAGGCCCTTGGAGGCCCTTCAGAAACTTCTGGCACATGATTCTACTCATTTTCCTGCATCCAGCTATGTTTTGGTTGCTATGACATAACAGTCCTTTTCACCATTTTTGGGGCACAGGTAGCCCCACACAAAAATTGATGTGAAATTACCGAACACACCAAAATTTCTCGAAAGCCATCAATGTGCAAGAAATGCGAGAAGCAACCTGACTGGCTGGTACAAAAACCTGCCAGCCAATCTCAAGGCTTGTATTACATAGGGCTGACTGATCGGCTAAAACTTTGTTTTGGCTACTTTGTGTCGGGCCTATATTTTGGTTGCGTCGTCTCCAAAGGGTTAAATATAATGAAATCAAAAAGACAGGTAATATATGCAGTATATTTTTAAAATATACATCAGAAAGGTTATAAATATGAGAGTGCTGTCATGAAAAAAGTTTAGAAATATGGGCATATGACATTTTACAAAAAATGTTGGACAGTCACAGGTAATAATGTAGCAGATTTGGAAACTCTTTATTACATCTTGAGATGTCAACATTATTATATTTATTTAAAAATTAATTTGATCTTGTTAACATCGCAGGAAATCATTGCGGAAGGATATAACACAGATGATACAGTACTGTTTGCAAACAATGAACAGGATCTGCAGTGTTGAGTCAATGCACTCATAGTACTAAAACAAGATGGAAAGATAACATTAGAGTCAAATCTTCAACAGCAGGCTGTGTCTATGGTCGAAGCAAACAGAAGAGCAAGCTGTGTCTATGGTCGAAGCAAACAGAAGAGCAAGCTGTGTCTATGGTCGAAGCAAACAGAAGAGCAAGCTGTGTCTATGGTCGAAGCAAACAGAAGAGCAAGCTGTGTCTATGGTCGAAGCAAACAGAAGAGCAAGCTGTGTCTATGGTCGAAGCAAACAGAAGAGCAAGCTGTGTCTATGGTCGAAGCAAACAGAAGAGCAAGAAGCAAAACCTTATATCTCCCTAGACACTCAAAGCGGTAAATGAGTAAGTGAAGAAGAAAAGGAAGAAGAAAATGGCAATGATAATTAGAGTGAAGAAGAAGAGCAGGAGGAGGAGAAAAAAAATGGTTGTGAGGAAAAAACATGAGAAACTGCATGGGTGTGACAACCTCCTGTGTATAAGCTTATATATATCTTAGACGACATGGTAAAATTAATGAAGTAGCCACTGAATTAAGAGGGCAAATCCATTCCTGAATAGATTCATGGCACTCATTTATCTTAACAGCCAGAAATGTATGTGAAAGATAGTGGCCACAACATAAACCACCCATGTGGATGCTGAAGAGAGATATTCTTCTGAAAACCTTTATCAGTTGTTTTTTTAAACAGAATATCCAGATCTGGCATGACACCATCTTTGACTTGACTTAGTCGTTTCTCTTCTACCTTGGGGTGTAGAGGTTATGACACTATCTACATGATATAATCTGCAGACCAAACCTAAAGTAAATGCACTTTCATGAGAAGCACACGAGTTACTACAGTAGACAGTCTTTTGTTACAATCAATGAAACTAGTGCAGCCCTTCAACAAAACAAAACAACAACAAAAAATGTAAACACTGACCACCAATTCATTAAATCTTGCACTCATAATTCAAAATTTTGTTACATTTGAAAAAAACACTGTAATGTAAACAAAACTAAAATTTTTAAGTGTTTTACCAAACATTTATATATATTGATCAAACACATATATATTTTGATCAAATACTTAGTATATATTTTAAAGTATAAATAAAGCTTTATATAAAATTACAAGCATTTCACTATTGTCCTTAGTATACAGGTGTCTATATACTTTGTACATATTATCCATAGTAAACTTTGCAAACATACCCCACTGCACTTGGATGTAATTCCTGTGAGAACATTTCCTGTCTCACTATAAAACTTTATATTTTCCTTCTGGAAGACAGTAGGATTCCAGCTGACATTCTCCTCTGAGTTGAATGACCCAACCTAAAGAATTTATGAACATTTAATTATTTCAGACTGTTTTCTGAAAACAAACCAGCAGTTACTAATTCGAGTAGAGAAGTGTGTAATCACAGTAAGAAAACAATGGGCATGAAATTTTTAGGGCATAAATGGTTGTTGAGTTTAGAACCGAGATCACAGCACTGAGGACATTCCCATAAGTGCTCCATCCTCATCTGACTGTATATATGTCTTGCCTTCTGAGTGTCAGCTAGATCCTCTGGTCACTTCCCTATACATCATTCTCTTCAGACAATGATGATCTATTTGTGCCTCCATTCTGTTCATTCACCCCCAAAGAGTTTTGCCAATGCATCATTTTGCTACCCAGTGCTGCAGAACCAGCCACTTGATCTGTTCATTTCCCAAAATAAATGGTTGTAAAATAACTCTTTTCACAAAATAAATGGTTGTAAAATAACTCTTTTCACAAAATAAATGGTTGTAAAATAACTCTTTTCACAAAATAAATGGTTGTAAAATAACTCTTTTCACAAAATAAATGGTTGTAAAATAACTCTTTTCACAAAAATTCTTTATATTTCCTGTGTAAAATTCATGGCAGTTATTTATATTTTTAACTAATGTGGATTAATTTGTCATTACTTTGTTTCCATTCCCTATAGTTTCTAATTCTTCAAGTTCTTTCTGTCTTTCTAATGTTATGCTGATGGGTTGTTTTTTTTAGGGGGGGGGGGGGGGGGGGGGGGGGGGGGGGGGGGGGGGGGGGGGGTGAGGGGGTGAGTGGTATTGAGATATAATGTCTGCTTCGAGTGTTGGAGGTCCTGGGTTCAAGCCCCGGTAAAGGCTGGGATTTTTCTCCCCCCTGGTCTCTGTGATTCTTCAGACTCAGGCTTGAGTTAGAAGTAGAATTGAGCACTTATGGGTCCCTGGAGTGTGATGATGTTGATCCATCGAATAAACATAAACATAAACATGCTGATGGTTCAGGTTGCTTATGGTTAAAAAGTGCTTACCTTAAACATTTCCATAAGTGCCTGAAGCTAATTTCACAAGGAGAAGCTCAACCCAGTATATCAACACTTTAGCCATGGCCAGATTTCAAATGTGTGTACATCAGAAATACTAACATTATCATTTTTTTTTGTGTGAGTTGGTTTTCTAATTTCAGAATTTAGCTCTTGCAGCAGTGTAGTCACTATATTTTTGACAATTTCCAACTGCCAAAGGATTTTTAACCATGCATACTTGGTCTTCCAAATTGTATGTACCTGGCTACATATGTTGGATCTACTATGCCAGGATCAGGAGAGATTATACCATTTTTTTAAACATTACTAATTCTTTCAGTCCTGAGGAACGCATCATACATTCATAGGTTCTTACCTAGAAGCCCAGTAAAAGCAAGATGTGCCAATTTTACATCTCTCTATACTACACCCTGAGCCTCTGGTGCTAAACCCTCTAGAACTCAAAAGAGTGAAGTGAACAAAGCCAGCAGAGATGTTGTAACCAACTGCCACTCTTTGCTAATAATGACATATTAGCATTTCACATCTGTAAACAAGGTGTAACACTAGCATCTGGAAAGATAGAAAAGTGCCAACAGAATATAGACTGCCACCTACAGTGATTTCCTGTATCTTTCATTCATCCAGTAATGTCATCAAAAGATCCTAGTTACCAAGATACACAGACTATTGTTGTAAAGATTGAGTAATGGTAACCTTGTTGATCTATAACATGTGTAATCAATGTTATAATAAATCCAAGAACAAGAAGCAAATCCCCCCCCCCCTTTTTCCCCCCAAAAAAAAATTTAAGATCATTGGAAACTGAGCTACAATAAACTTTATAAAAACACAACCAGTGGGCAACCGACACCAAAACAATTGTTAGGTCATTAACACTGCACTCTTTAGAAACATAAGAATAAAAATAAAAATAAAAATAACATTAATCAGCTAATGGTAGCCAATCTTTTATAATAAGTTTTTGCACCATCAATGATGTCTTTTATTACCTTGAAAAATAGTAAAAATTTAAGTGAGATTTTCAGGTAATAATACCTAATCCATTCACTGATCCATCATTTCCACTTAACTTTTAACTATTTCCGTGCTAATTGACTCACCATGCGTTTATTGGTAGTTCAGTTCATGATCTGCTTGCTCTGATTCTTTGTGTTTTAACTGCTTGTTAAATGTGTAATCTCTATCCTATTTGTTACTCCTTCTGTTCAATAAAGTTATCTGACATCATTAAAATATTAAACAGTGCTTTCAACAAAAATAAACAGGAATTTTAGCTAGGCATCGCATGCACAGGCCACTTTAGCCATGTCGAAAAGCTGACTCTCGAAGGCATGTGGACTAACTGGGAAATGTCTTTTGTGGCTTCTTGGAGCACCAGGGTTAAAATTGGCTTACCAGTATATTTGCGATAAGCGGAAAAGATGAATCAATAAATTGATAAGGTATCACTACCTGAAAATCTCGCTTAAGTTTTCATCTTCTACAATAACAAGAAGCCAGTTTTCCAGACTATGTTGGAAACAGCAGTGATCTGTAATTTCTTCTTCTTCTTAAATGCCATGCCATGTGGCATTGATAGTCATATCTATCCACAACCATCTGTCTCATGAGCTTTCAATCAACTTTGGCACACATGATCCTCCATGCCATGATGTGAAACTGTCCATCATCTTTTCTTTCAGTCTCCCTCTACCCTCTTCCTCTTCAACTTTCCTACTGTCAGGATGTACTCCAGTTTTGTCCTTCTCATCACATGACCAAAAAATTAGACTGTCTCTCTCTGATGTGGGAAATCAGTTCTCTTCCTGAGTCAGTCTCTTTCAAGACATCTTGCAGACACACAAATAAAGATAACTTGTACAACACAGCCATCTCTCACCTTAACATATGGATTAACACCTGGTGCCACCTGTTGAATGTTGTAAACATCAAATCCCAACGCTCCATTCCCATTTTTGTCAAAAACTTTGTACATCAGATCTCCTTGAAGACGGGTCTGTTTTTTAATGTAGTCTACAACCTGATTTGCTCGTTTGTAAAAGTAAGAGCATGGAAATTCTCCGTTTTCGCACAAACTAAAAATGAGACAGATTTTTGCAAAACATTAATATGCAAGTAAAATAGTCACATTAAAAATTTGCCCTTTATTTTTTAAACACACTTTGCATCAATTTAAACTTCAGTCTACAAATGAAATTAAAATGCATTACTATTTCAAAAAAAGACTGAACAAGAATTAGTTGAACATGGAAGTAGGAAAAGGAATGAAAAAAATTATTAAATTTCAACAAAGTCCAGAATTTTGATAATTGGCAACATATTTTGAAAACTGCACTTTAAAAATAATAAAAATAAATGGGAACAAGTTCAATGTTTGTCCAATCTTTGTTTTATAATGAATGGCAAATGAAAACCCTAAATCAAGAATAGGTATTCAATGGTCAAAGTTACGTTCTTTAAAAAAACATAAACAATAAAAATTTATTTTAAAAACCAACGTTAAAACGGAGAACTCGATAAGTAATATGTGCACTTAGTGTTACATAATAAGGTGTGTTAGGAGTAAGGTGACCCTAATATCTTAAGCTGAAAATGGGACATCCCACTAATATTTTTAGCTGAAAACAAGACAACATGAGCAAGTCAGTAATTCCCCCTCTCCCTTTTCCAACTCCAATGTCTAGAATTTTTTTTTTTTTTTGGTCTTAGCTGAGGTTTCAACTCTACTGCAGTCAGGTCAACCCCTATTTGCTCTCTTTCTGTGCCAGGGAAAATGCTCAGATAGGACAACATCACACACAGTTACGGACAATAACTGGCACAATAAACCATTTAAGCAATGACCCTGGTGAAAATAAAATCAGACCAAAATTATGATTGAAAAGGTCTTCAGCTAGATCAAACATAGTCACTTTTTCCCCCATCAAATCAACAACAACATGGCACCCATATGTCTTCAGTTCGGTCGAACATGGTCACTTTTTTCGCCATTAAAACAACAACAACATGGTAACCATATGTCTCAGCTGGGTCGAACTTGGTACTTTTTTCCCCATCAAATCAACAACAACATGGCACCCAGATGTCTTTAGCTGAGTCAAACGTGGTCAATTTCTTTTTCCTTATCAAATCAACAACAAAAACAACATGGTACCCATGTTAGACTGGTCAATTAGAAGCCCAAGTTATAAAAAATCCATCTTTGATTTACTTAAGTGAGACTTAAACTTGCATCATAATTTATAGATGTCTGTATGATTTTACTTGTATTGAACATGTTCAGAGAAATCAGAAACTCACCTCTTTTTTGCTTCTGCTAGACCTTTGCCTAAAGCATAGACAGCGTTCATTACTTGAGTCACCCTTTGTTCTCCTGCCCTTATATCCAACTGTGCTGAAGTCAGTTTCAAACCTTGATCACAGTCTCTGCAAACATGAAGAGAATACAACTTCAGTTAATTGTTTCATAGGTCATATTTAAAATATTTAATAGAAAAGAAAATATTATTATACGTTGGAAAGATTGTTTAAATTTTAAATAATTTACTTTCACTGCCATGGAGAATTTAATCTTTGCTAACAGTCATTCAGTTAGTACAAAATAAATGAATGTTGAATGCTGAATTAAGAATTGACATCACAGCACTCGGGACACTCACATAAGTGTTCTGTCCATATCTTTAGCAGCAAACGAAGTGTTCCAATTCCGATGGCATCAGTAAATGTCTGATTGTATATCCATCTCATCCTTCCCCTAAGTGTTGAGCGTCAGCCAGATCCCCTGGTAACTCATCGCAGCACCATTCTCCTTAGACCATAATGATCTATCTGCCCCTTTGCACTGTTCACTCGTTCCTAAAGGGCCCTCACAATATCTAGCGTGTCATTCATCAATTCACCACCATGTGGTGCAGAGCTGGCAAGTATATCTGCCTGCTCATTTCTCAACACACCGCCATGATCTGGAGAAAAAAATATCCAAAGGATGCCAACTACCCTGGACCTCTGAAGTGATGCTTGCCAATCGGCAAGAAGCATGCCTGTCTTCACCTTTCTTAACATGCTCTGTGAGTCAGTTACAATCACGGCATGTGTGTACAGCTGATTCTCAAGCCAGCTAAAGGCAGCAGAAACTGCCTCCACCTCCATTCTCAAACTAGACGTGATATCATATTCAAGGTTTTCTGCACTAAGCGAAGTCCATTCGCCTTTGCTATGAACCCCCATGCACTCCGTCTGCCCCTCATCACAGAGCCATCTGAATAGATAATCACATCACTTTGTGGGGTGGGGGTGGGAGGGGGGAGGGAATTGTCATGAATTATTTGTTGAACTTCTGATTCTGCAGCACCAGCTGGCCAATCTCTGCATTCACGACCTAAAGTGATTATAACCCCACACAAGTCTGAAACTTGTTCAGACACCTTGACCCACTCCTCTCCTCGCACAATTTTTTCAAGCCTGCACACATGTCCATTTGTGTCTTCAGCTTGCGCCATCCAAGTCCTTCCTCTTTTCAGCTGATTATAAAATACTGGCACTGCAACAAAATTATATTCTTTTAACCCTTATAAATAAGATGACATTTAATGTTTTAACATATTCATGCAATGATCTCATCTGTAGTTAACACACAAAACATTCTATGTTCAACAGAAAACTTTACAAATGCAACTGTCTTACTTTTCAAAACTGTTGATAAATGTCCCTTTTAAGTTGCAGCTGAACTCATTTTGCCAAAATTCTGCAAACCATATGTTGCTGTCATTAGTTGTGGGTGATTTTGATGCCAAATGGTTCTTAAACTTTAAGTGAGATTCCAGCTGAATGTCCTGAAGTTTGAACGTTAAGGATCCACGGGCTGACTTTTGTCCTGAGTTGTAGATGTTGAGGTTTACGCCCCAGTCTTCACTAGCCATAAAAATAAACTTTCCATAAAAATTTTCCTTTTCCATGAATGACAGAAAATTCCGGAACCTATCATCTATACCAAAGAAAACCACAACCTTTATGTTCTTGCTAATAAATTGTACACAAATATTGCGAAAATCTGATCCATCAGAGTCGGACACCTTTTCATTGATTCCCAGTTCTGGAGCAACACAAACTCCTGAATCTTCCTTCATTGCTGCCTTTTTGAATTCTTCCATTCCCTTTGCACCATAGTTATTCTTTACATACAAGAGACCAACATATTCCCACTTCATGGTTTTAACGATATCAAGCATAACTTTTGCTTGATATACATCACTAGGAACTGTTCGTAAAAAATATGGGAAGTCGATTTTACTATCCAAGTCTGCAGAACTTGCAGAATATGACACAACAGGAAGATTCATGGGCATAAAAAAGCGTGCTGTTGGTATTGTGCAGCCACTGGAGCGACAAGCAACAACTCCTACAAACTTTTCTTTCGGTATAGGATGCGCAAAAACTGTGATGTTAGATTTGATCAAATCAGAAAAATACTGAGATAAGATGCTTGTGGATCTTAAAGGGCTATAGCAGTCATCTATAGCAACGGCTCCAAACTTTATTCCAGTTATGTTTCTCAGCTCATTGACAGCATATAAGAAGCCTTCAGCTATAATTGCATCATTTCCAATATTTCGGAACTGTCCACAGCTAAATGGATTGTCACCGGCAGCTTCATGTATGGAGAAAACGCCAAGAATGTAGACATCACCTTCCTGAAATGCCATTGGCACTATATTATTGCTCAGGCAGTCGGCACAGTTTTGGCTACATACAGATGTGGCCAAAGAAGAAGTTGGCTGTCCTGAAAGTGTCACAAATTTGATCTTGTCCATGTCTAAAACAGTATGACCATTGCTGTAGCTGCCAATTGGTTCATACTGGAACAGACAAAAACAAGAGATCAACGATGAATCATTTATAACAAAGAAGGGAAAAATTGAAACAAAAAAAAAGTACATTTTAAGTTTTAACATAATAAAATAACTAAAAAATAACTTCAATATAACATACTGACTGTTTAGATACCTTGCTGACAAAAACACATGTGGATTAATTACTGGTATATGCATATATAAATATACAGTCTCACATACACATTTGCATGCACACATATACAGACAGACAGACAGACACAGAGCGAATGAACAACAAACAAACAAACGAACGAACAAACTTTATTTTCAAAGGGTTACAAATTGGGCCCACAGACAGACAGACAGACAGACAGACTGTTGCAAGCTGATTTGGGTAAAGTGTGATATTGTGTGAAGGGACAGTAGTATGAGAGTAATTCTGTAGTGCCACGAGAAAGTGGACGCGTGGGTTACTGCGTGGGAGCTGAAAGCATGGCTAATGAGATAAACAGAGAAAGTGTGAATTAAGTGACAGTGTGATTCTCGGGTAACATCAGCCACACACATAAGCGTGATCCTCGAGAACGCCCACATGAGCGTGAGTCTCGAGAACACAGGAACATAATTCACGAGAACGCCCATACGAGCGTGCCTCTCGTGTAAACATCATCCACCTTCACGGATTTGAGGGGGATAAATTGGAGGCTCAGTAGTCAGTCCAGAAGCAGTCAAGAGAGAAGAGAGAAGAGAGAGAGAGAGAAAGTGAGAGTCAGAGACCAAGTCAGGGTCCATGATATCTCTCTCGAGTCTAACAGACAAGAATACCGTATGACTATCAGGCATTTAGGTCTGAGTAAGTGTCGAGGTTGCAGTACTGGTCAAAGGTATGGTCCCGCTGGCGAAGTAAGTCCAGGGGACAGAAGGCTCCAGTAGTACCTGTTCTGGGTGGTGATGTAGTGAGACGTAGGAGGACCACTAGTGAACCAGAACAGGGGGGAGAGCTGTGGGCTAGAGGGAACTTATGGTAGAAGTCCTGTCGGTCATTGGAGCCCTTCGACAAGCTGACGACAGTTGTGTGTTTTCGGAGTACAGAAAGGGAAGTCCGTCTCCAGTCAGCCGTGTTATATGCTGAAATAATATCAAGGTCCAGTGAATGGGAGAATTCGTCCTGTTCAGCTGTACGGCGCGTCCAGAGTGTGGGACGCTGTAGTCCTTGGAGCTGTAGTGGTCAAGGAGAGGTCGCTACAAACTGAGAGAGAGAGCGAGTGAGGACAAATGAATTATTTGCAAATGACAACTGAGATCAATAACTACGTCTCTGCATTTGTGTCATGTATCCTGTTGAATAAAATGTATGATAGTGTCATCGTCGTCGAGTTCTGTTTCTAAGAGAGGAAGTGGAAGGGTACCTGCTAGACACCTGGTAGTGTGCTGACTACTGGTAACTCATTTAGCACACAACACAGACAGACAGATCTTTAATAATGTTTTTGATGTTTCTGGACCGACGGAGGGTCAGAACAGTACTAACAAGGAATAAATGCACAAAGATATAAATATTTCAAAGTCTTTGATACTAAAAAAGAATAAGTGCACAAAGATATGAATATTTCAAAGTCTTTAAAACAAAGATTTGAACCAAGGATTGCTCAATTTGAAAATACAAAGACTACATTTGACTGAGCTAGAAAAGGGGTGTCTTTGTATGTTTATTCTAAGTGTGACAACTTCAAGTAGTAGTAGTCGTAATTTTTCAAAAATATTCTTTTCGACTCCAGGTTTATAATTGGGATCTATAGTATTCATTAAAGCTTCAAAGTATATATTTTATATTTTATATGTATATATTGTGTAATTATTTATATGGCTGATGTGTAATTTTTATTGTTTCACAGTGCTTTGATTTGGGTTGTGACTATAATAGAAACTGTAATTTGAATAATTAGAATTTTGACTAACATTGTGTCATTAACATGATGGATTTATTATTCCCTTCATCATCATCATGTAGCAGGTCCTTTGCAGAATGTCACTCTTATCACGGTCTACCTGAAAATAACTTGGTCTCTCGCCAGCTCTCCAGCCTCATGCACTTTCACACTCAAGGAGTCACTTATATCCTGTGCGCATCTTTGTGTTGGTTGGCCCCTGCCCCTCCTTCCTGGTGCCATGCCTTATACTATAATTTTTTTCCAATTCGTCGCTGCGCATGATATGACCAAAATATCTCAGCTTCCGAGGTAGGATGCTATTTATTAGCCAATCTTCCTTGATGTTCAGATCTTTTAAGATGTCAGTATTTCTCCTCTTTTTCGACTAAAATATTCTCTTAGTGTGTAATATTTTATTATTCTCCTTGATTTTATCTTTAGGGGAAATTTCTTCAAAGATGGCATGGGCATTCTTTACCCTTATATATAAGGATTTTATTTCTCGTAATAACAATTTCAAATCCCTGAATATTCCAAAAGTGCAAGCTTGCCCTTTTACAGTGACTTTGATTAATTATGTCACACCTGGTAATACACCTTTCAACATCATCATCACTAGTTAGCATGATCTTTACGGAATTTAGCTCTTCTCACCACACGTCTG